TGAAGGTTCTAATCACGAGGATGGCAATCCACATGATGAGATGGATGCAAAAAAGGAAGAATTTCCTTCAATGTACATGGAAAAGGTCGACACAATTGAGTGGTCTTCCTCTCTTGCTTCTATCTGAGATTTTTTGGGAATAATTGCTATTGGTTGTCTAGGAAATGTTGATCGTAGAAAATTATTGAGAAAAAAATGCTTATTTTGTTAATTTTTAATATATCTACTTTTTCCAAATTCCAAAAGACAGAGCCAATAAAAATCATATAGAGCACGAGATTTTTTCCGAATCTTCTGACTTGCATATCGATGCATCTTGGAGTTCCTTGTTGGTCAACCATTTCTAATATCACTTGGTAAGATGGGTGCCGAAAAGGAAGAGTTTAACCTTATTCAATATACATGGAAAAGATCGACACAATTGATGATGAGTGGTCTTCCTCTCTTGCTTCTATCTGGGATATTTTGGGAATAATTGCTATTGGTTGTCTAGGAAATGTTGATCGTAGAAAATTATTGAGAAAAATGCTTATTTTTTTAATTATTAATATATCTACTTGTTCCAAATTCCAAAAGACAGAGCCAATAAAAATCATATGGAGCACGAGATTTTCTCCGAATCCTCTGACTTGCATATCGATGCATCTTGGAGTTCCTTGTTGGTCAACCATTTCTAATATCACTTGGTAAGATGGGTGCCGAAAAGGAAGAGTTTAACCTTATTCAATATACATGAAAAAGATCGACACAATTGATGATGAGTGGTTTTCCTCTCTTGCTTCTATCTGGGATTTTTTGGGAATAATTGCTATTGGTTGTCTAGGAAATGTTGATCGTAGAAAATTATTGAGAAAAAAATGCTTATTTTGTTAATTTTTAATATATCTACTTTTTCCAAATTCCAAAAGACAGAGCCAATAAAAATCATATAGAGCACGAGATTTTTTCCGAACCCTCTGACTTGCATATCGATGCATCTTGGAGTTCCTCGTTGGTCAACCATTTCTAATAGATGTCTCATCGATTGTCGAGTCCTTGAACTTGCTTGAGGATATATCATTTAGATCCACGTGGCGAAGCTTGTCGTACGAGGAAAAAAACTTATTCGTGATAACGTGCTCCCGACAGCATCGATTCTTCGCGATGAGAGACCGAAGGACATGAAAGGATAACGATGGAGGATGGGGATAAGGGAAGGAGGATCAATCTACATGCTGCAAGGATTGTTCGGAGCGACTGTGAGGCAAATGCTGGTGTCGTGTATACATTTGCCGACATCTTGGAGGTCTTCATCTCACGTCGCGAGCATTCGAGCACGAAGCATTTTGGATTTGAAAGGATCCGAGACGACTGTCGGCAGGGTTTCTCTGAGGCTTTGCCTATGTGAAACGTGTCTCTACAGGATGCTCCACGAAAACCCTTCGCATATCGACGAATATAAAGGAAGAATCGCACTTCTTTAAAAAAAAAAAAACTCGTAGGAATTTAATCAGAGCATCTACGATCTTAGGATCAAATCTGAAGGTATTAAGATTTTCTGATTTTTCGATTCCTTAGAATTTTGCTTCTCTCTTGTATATCTCGTAATTTATCGATTTTGTAAATTGTTAATTATAATTGTTGTTTTTTTTTTAAATCTTGTCTAAAAGGGAAATATTTGTGTAGAATTACATAATATGCTGGGATTTTCATACAATACAATTACAGATTATATGTAATTTCATCTGAAATATATTCTTATAATTAGAAATAAATATTCCACTAAACATGGAATTGCACATAGGAATAAATGCTTATAAAATTAAGTTCCAATTTTACCTATATTTTACATTAATATATATTTTCACTTAAAAAAAGATGGAAAAAATTGCAGTAATAATTAAGCTAAAATTTTCCAATTTCGAGCAAATAATTTCCATGTAAAAGTACAAGGAACTTTTTCAGCGTACATCTCAATTCAGTATGAAAGCTTTAGCCAGCAGAGCGAGACTCCGATTATTTATTTATTCAATCTCGCGGGAGAAAGGAAACACATACGGCAAGAAGAATAAATGGTCGCGACACATACTTTTTCGAAAAAAAAAAAGAGAGATCAACTTTCGGAATTTCTTTCCGAATGTAAAATCCATATCCCACCAGCGGTTTGCCCTTTTCGGCGATGCAATATTAACGCGGCTACATCGCTCTGCACTTTTCTCACGCGGTTTCAAGAGCCCCTGATCGATGGCGAATGAATTAACGTTTCGCCGCGAAACGATTGCGACCGGCGATAAATATTCAGCGAGTCGTCTCAGATCTTCTCGTTCCCGGACTCGGACTCCGATATGGCCTCTGCCTTTATCATTTATCAGCGACTCTCGTAATTTATTCAGGCCGTCCCGGGAAGAGACCGCGATAAGCAAAACGTACAGATTGCGAGCGGCATTTATAGATATCCGAACACACTCGTGGAAAAAACAAATCGAACGTGTACGTACACGAGGTATTGTGTAAAAATATATAGTTACCTCTTTCGTCTGAAAAATTTATCATTGCACTATGATGTTGCAACTGTGTTTGCGTTCGACCAATTATTCGTAAATTGTGTCGTAAACAAAATATATATAATTGCACCTTTTATTATGATTATATTATCGTCAGCGTATATGCATATATTTTACAACCAATCGAAATCAATTTTACAGACGATTATACAGATGAGTGGTGTAATAATCGCAAATTTAATATCGGTTAATGAATACATTCGAACATTAACACGATGAAAAAAAAAAAAAAAAGAAACTTAATGAGCGAAATATAGATTTGCAAAATTGTCAAAGTACTCGACGCGTTTGCTAACAACTTGCTTCTTCATCAATCGAATTTCCGACCGCAATTTCCATTTCCCGCGTTAATTCTATCGCACAAAATCTTCGAACGATCTTTCAAACGTCTGGTTAGCGATATTTTGTAAACAAGAGCCCGGAGAGTTTCTCCAAGATTGAGGCACCCTCGGTATTTAACTTTTGAATTGCCGACGAGTTTACTCCCGCACGCGAGCGATCCGTCCGAGGCGAATTTACGAGAGAGCCTCGGGGAAAGTTTGACTCGCCCATTAGCGAGTCAAGTGTAAATTAATTGAACGGTTCAATGGTATGAGTTTATATTCCCGCGAACGCGCCACTATTATCGCCGAGAGAATCTCGCATTTATTATATTCAACAATCGGGGGGTGAATTGAAATTAAATTTTCCATTGGAAAATGTTAATCAACATTTCCATAAAGGTCTCGTTGAATCAGATAAGAAACCAGAAGTTTCTCGGACTTGTAATTAATCGAACTACGATGAGAAAGTTTGACGAAAAACCTATGTGCGCGTCAGAAAATATATCAATAGTCGTTTCAATTAGTAATTCTAATCCACGTGGATTTTCTTCTTAGCTTGCGCTGCTGTAGTATGAATAAAACATTTTCGGAAAGCAAACCGCTGTAGACACGATTCTCACGACAAGAGTCACGGTTTTGTGACTGCAGGCCACTTTAGACGATCTCGTGACAAATTTCTATTTTATGTGCCTTGTAATACCAAATATATTCGAGAGGGAGAAGAATCAGATTACGGTATCTGAAGTCATGTATTTAGATTTATCATATATATTGTATTATTTAATATAAATTATATATATCTAATATAAAATTATTATATATAATATATCTCATCCTGAGGATGTTCGAATGTCCTCTGGATATCCTCTGAATGTCTTTGGGATATGGTGTGCTATTAAGGATATTATTTAATATAATTTAATATATATTAAAATGTACATTTTAATATATATTATATTAAATAATATCCCGAACAGCACACATATCCCGAAGACGTTCAGAGAGCATCCTGAGGATGTTCAAGAATGTCCTCTGAATATGTCTTTCGGATATGGTGTGCTATTAGGGGTATTTTTTAATATAATTTAATATATATTAAAATGTATTTTAATATACATTATATTAAATAATATCCCGAATAGCACACATATCCCGAAGACGTTCAGAGAGCAGCTTGAGGATGTTCAAATGTCCTCTGAATATCCTCTGAATGTCTTTTGAATATATGATGTGCTATTAGGGGTATTTTTTAATATAATTTAATATATATTAAAATGTACATTTTAATATACATTATATTAAATAATATCCCGAACAGCACACATATCTCGAAAACGTTCAGAGAACATCCTGAGGATGTTCAAGAATGTCCTCTGAATATGTCTTTTGGATATGGTGTACTATTAGGGGTATTTTTTAATATAATTTAATATATATTAAAATGTATTTTAATATACATTATATTAAATAATATCCCGAAGACGTTCAGAGAGCAGCCTGAGGATGTTCAAGAATGTCCTCTGAATATCCTCTGAATGCCTTTTAGATATATGATGTGCTATTAGGGGTATTTTTTAATATAATTTAATATATATTAAAATGTACATTTTAATATACATTATATTAAATAATATCCCGAACAGCACACATATCCCGAAGACGTTTAGAGAACATCCTGAGGATGTTCAAGAATGTCCTCTAAATATGTCTTTCGGATATGGTGTACTATTAGAGGTATTTTTTAATATAATTTAATATATATATTAAAATGTACATTTTAATATACATTACATTATATTAAATAAAATTCCTAATAGCACACATATCCCGAAGACGTTCAGAGAACATCCTGAGGATGTTCAAGAATGTCCTCTGAATATGTCTTTCGGATATGGTGTGCTATTAGGGGTATTTTTTAATATAATTTAATTAAAATACATTACATTATATTAAATAAAATTCCTAATAGCACACATATCCCGAAGACGTTCAGAGAACATCCCGAGGATGTTCAAGAATGTCCTCTGGATTATTTAACATAATTTAATATATATTAAAATATGCACGAAATAATAAAGAAAATCCCTTCTCCTGAATACGAGAGATTGTGATTGCGGAAGGAAAAAAAACTCACCTTGGTGTAAACGCCGGCGCTGGACAGCTCGTTCTCGATGACCATGATGATGATGCCGAACATGCCCATGACGAGGGCGTAGTCACTGATGCGCTTTCGCTTCTCGAACAGGGCCTTCCGTCTGCCGAGGCGGTAGCCGACGTTGGGCTTGTGCTTGGATCCGGGCCCGATGCTGCCGCCGCCGGACTGGCCCTTCAGAGAGCCGCCGCCGCCTGCCAGCATGCGCTCGTCCATGTAACGGGGATACTCGGTGTGGACGCCCACGAGGGCGATGCCGGCGTCCTCGCCGGCACCGGCGCCCCCGGCGCTACCGCATCCGGCGGCCACCCCGGCCGCACCCCCCGCGCCACCCCCGCCGGCCACCCCGCCGCTGTTTTTCATCGCTCCCGGAATCGAGAGAGTCGACACTGGCTTCCGCAGCTGGAACAGCGAGAGGAAGCGCGATTAAGCCCCGAGAGAGGGAATGCGCGTCTGTACACGTGGCGGAGATTAATCTTCCCCATTAATATTCCTTCATTTATATATTCCACCCCTTTTTCTTATTTGCTTTTTTTTTTTTTTCGAGAAAGTGGCGCTAATTCATGCTTGCGACAAAAACGTGCGTAAATAGCGTGTAAAATTACATGTATATTTCTAGGAGTTTTAAGCGTCGGCGTCCGCGGTATTTCTTCCACGAGGGGGCAATTAAATTTTTTTTTTTTCGTTTTTAGACTATTTGTTCTTTCTCAATTTTTTTATTTTACTTTTTTATTATAAATCTGCAAATGAAATCCAGTTTTTATTATCCAAAAGGAAAACAAATGCTTAATTTTTTTAATAATTCCAAGGGGGCAACTTTTAAAATTTTTTTATTCTTATTTTCATATTTCTTGTATTAAATATGCAAATAAATTTCAGTGTTTATTCAAAAGGAGAGCAAACGCTGAATTTTTTTTACTGATGCCAAGGGGGGAGACGCATGCTTTTTCTTGGCCCCCCTGTGGACGCCGATGCTTCGAAGGGTTGAAAATTGAAATGTTCAAGGGAGAGAAGTATAAAGGACTTTTTTCTTTTTCCTCTCGCGAGTGTGACTCACGCTAACTTCGGAATAAATGGTTGCAGCTCGGGACGACTCGTTTTAATAGCGGTCGCGTATAGTTCTGATTTATCGGGCAAAACGTGGGCGGCCGCATAAAATCTTTCAGTCGAAGAAGCGCGCGAGACGGTTCTCGATCGATGGAAATTATTCCGGCGATACGAGTTAACGAGCGAATCTCGAATGTGCGCGCGAAATTCCGCGAGTGCGAAAATTGAAGGGAAAGAATATTTATTCAAACGTATAGCACTCTTCGTTCGAGGAACTCCTCCAATGGAATTTCTGTGTCACAAAAAGCGCGCTCCCCTAATCACATTAAGTTACTATTTTTTTTTCTTCCGGGTTGCACCGGGAATGAGGTATTGGAACGGTTGTTTTTTCTTCCTTTTTATCGCTTGTTGTTTTTCCCGCTCCGGGTCGAGCTTTGAGACGGCATAAAATAAGCACGAACTGCGAAGATTTCACTTCGATTTCACAAAGGAAAGGCCAAAGTAGCCTCTTTCTCTTCTCTCCTTAAAAAGAAGGAAAAAAGAGGTGTAAAAAAGTTGATCTCTCTTCCACTTGGCGCTAATGCTAGTTACTTGATTACTTTGAAACGAACGTGTTCTAATGGAGAAGTCTCAATACGTATGTTTTTACTATACTTTTAATTAACTTTGCTACGTGATGCAAAACAATGGTTCAATCTCCGTATAAAAAAAACATAAAGTTTAAATAAAATTATTTATATATTTTAAAACCCATTATACAACACGGAAATCAATATTTTTAATTACAATAAAATAAATTTGGTATTCTATTGTAAAATTTTAGAGTCTAAAGCGCTGGATTAATCAACGTCAAAGATAAAAGGGTTATTTTAATGTATACGAAAATCAGGCTGTCGCAAAATTCCAACTGCGCTGTTTCAAGGTATTACAAAGTGCCTGAAACAATACCTACACTTAAAAAAAAAAAAACACAGCGGCGCGATTAAGTAGTATTTGCTTGACCGATCCACCCCCGTCGCTGAAATCCAGAACGCACGAAATCTGACAGCGAGAGCATCTGTCGTCTATGTATATATATAATACATCCCTCCCGTCAGGATTTCACTTCGGTACACACCGGCCGCGCTTTAATACGGAATACGAAACGGGGCGCATGCACCTGTCTCTGACAGTGTGTTTGGATGTGTGTATGCATGGGGGTTGCACGTACGAGACGCGGACTCCATGTGCGGCGGCCTATCGATCCCCCGCTATATTTTCCGAACGCGCGTTGTCTCTTCCATATACCCTCGAGAGTGCGCGTCTTCGAGCCGAGACGAGTTAGAGCGTGGGTCTGCGTGACTGAGTTTCGCTCAACGAGCTGGTGCTACAGAGAGAATACGCGTCTTTTTTTTCCTCTCCTGCTCCATTTGCGTCACGGTGAGATTTTTCTTTTCTGCTTTTTTTTTCTTTCGTCAAGAGAGCGAATAAAAGCGCAATTACGGAGTATTTAAGAGCGTGACAATCTCTCCTCCAAGATATACACGCGCACACACCTGTCTCTCTCTCTTTCCTCGCGATCGAGTGAGACTTTAAGGCTGCTGCATAATTTATACCCGCGACATTAGTTAACTGCGGATAATCAACAGGAAGGGAGACTCTTCTCTGATGAGATACCCGCTGGAATGCACCGGCAGGGAGATTTCGCGCAGCATGACCTCGTGACCTTTCTCACCAGTCGGAGGGGGGTTATAAGGGTGGAAGACTGTGTTACCAGGGGGAGGACAGAGGGGAATGGGGGATGGGATGGTAGTCATGGAGACCGTCCCGAGAGGCTTCCTTAATTCAAAGCTTGATTGGCTCGGGCAATCTTAAAACTTGTATATGCTCGGTAAAGTTGCTCTCTCTTTCTCGCCCGTATCTCGCGATTACTCGCGACCGCGATAAAGAGCCGCGCGGATTGCCGGCGACATTTCCGACGTTTTTCATCCCGTCCGACTCCGTATCGATCCTCGAGGTTCAATTACTCCGGAGATTCCGGAGAGATAGCATGTGCCTCGGTTACGAATTAACGGTTACGCAATGGGGTATCAAGTCGATTAGGACCGCATCAAAGATGCATATTGCTCTGTTTGGATTCGTATTAAATATACAAGAGAGGCGAGTTGAATCACGACGCGGAGCAAATAGGGATGCCGATAAATTAGGAAGATTATACCTGATTTATACCAAGCCTTAAAATTATTATTTTAGGCGTTGATTAGACCCCGTACCGAGAAGGAAAGTGTACAGTGATTGATCACAACAGGTTTCTACGTATTGTGGAATCAGTTTTTTTTATGGAAACTTTAATGCAGATCATGATTACGATCCGATGTTCCTGGAATTGAATCTTGTCTCATTGGGGAATAGAAGGTTATTTTTTGACTTGTTCAATCCAATAAATAATCGAGTGAACTGCCTTGAATTACTTGAGTGTATAAGATTGTATGCACCAAGTAGGCCTCTGCGAGGTAGTGAAATGTTTTATTATGAGAATTTTGGTTCGATAAATCGCATATGCCGTTTTATGCCAACAATTTTGCTAACCAGGTTGATTTTTTCACGGACCAATAAATGGTTTTAAGAAATCCCTGCGAGCGAGTATAAGATGATGTGTTCTGCGTAGTATTGGTTCCGTTTCTTTCATTATTTATAAACAATGTTGTAATCTATCCTTGTGATCTTGAAAGAGATGATATTCTTAGCGCAATGGGGTATATTAAGTTCGATTAGGGCCGCATCAAAGATGCATATTGCTCTGTTTGGATTTGTATTAAATGTACACATGTAAGAGGTGAATCATGACACGGAGTAAATAAAGATGGCGATAAACTAACAGATACCTATATATAACATTAATAAAAAGGTCTTAATAATCTATCATCTCTCTCATTATTTATAAACAATGTTGTAATCTATCTTCCTTGTGATCTCTGAAAGAGATGATATTTTTAACAATTACGCAATGGGGTATATCAAGTCGATTAGGGCCGCATCAAAGATGCATGTTGCTCTGTTTGGATTTGTATTAAATATACAAAAGATGAGACGAGTTGAATCATGACACGGAGTAAATAAAATTGGTGATAAATTAATAGATGCCTACATATGTAGGTACAACATTAACGAAAAAGTCTTAATAATCTTGTTGACACTAAAATCTATCATTTCTTTCATTATTTATAGATGTAACCTATATCCTCCTTGTGATCTCGAAAAAGATGATATCTTGCGACACGATATACCTTCCCTTCACCGAATCGAATCGTATTAATTTCCTCCGCATGGAAGCCTTCCATCTGTCCCTCCATCTCCTTCTCTTCGTCAACCCCCGTCTAATAAAGTCAACTTTTCTTCTCGCGCGAAGAATCCCGCAATCTTTCCAGCGAACTTGCGGCTTTCTCTCGCGCGAGAGAAGCGATAAAACTGTCGGCCGTCGCGAAAAAACGAAGAAAAGGGAAAAGATGGTAGGAATATGATCTTCGCTTTCGCGCGCGTATTTGTGAAGCATTCGATACCCAGCACTCGGATTTCACACTCGGCTCGGTACATTGTCGCCGGTATTATAGTCTCTGAGCCGACAAGAAAGCAGTTTTGCACAGAGAGAATCACGAGAGAGATGAGAGAGAGAGAGAGAAGTGAATCTGGTGTACAAGATGAGTAGAGGGTGGTAGGAGGGAAGAGGGATGCTAGTATTTGCGGTTCAGTTGTCACACATGCGCCTACACTCCTCGGATTAGTATTAAATCTGACGTCTCCTTTCTCTCGAATCTCAAATACTCGTCTCCTGCACGCTGCAACGATTCTGGCATACATTTTCTCGAGCGGGTTATCCACGACAAACATTTCGATCTGTCCCTTTTCTCCATTTTATTCTCCGTCAGCAATCTGGGTCTTTTAAGGCACCAGCAAATTTCCATTTTTTTCAAATTGCTTTTCTAATTTCGCGCTGTATAAACAATTGGGTTTTTAAATCTATCAGATATTGAAATAGATATTTTAACAAATAAGCCAGATTTTTTTATTTTTTAAAGGTCTAGAAGATGAAAAAATAATATAGAACAAACTTAAAAGCTTCAGTTGGCTCTAACGGAGGGCTAATTTAGAATTGATATAAATAATCTTGGAAAATTACGAAAAATATGTTCAATAAAAACAATTAAATTTTCTCTAGCAAGATTCGCGAAAAATTTGTGGATTTGTTTCTTTTCTGGATTTTATTCTCCGTCAGCAATCTGGGTCTTTTAAGGCACCAGCAAATTTCCATTTTTTTCAAATTGCTTTTCAAATTTCGCCCTGTATAAACAATTGGGTTTTTAAATCTATAAAATATT